CAGAGGTGGGTTGTGTGTGGTGGCGGTGGTGGTGGGGTCTGTTTGTTATTTGTTTGCGTGAGGGCCTAGCTATGTAGCCCAGGCTGGCTTTGAACTCAGGATCTCCCTGTTCCTACCTCCCAAGTGCTGGCATTATAGGCATAGGCCACCATGCAAGGCTAGGATAGTTTCTTGATACAGAGACACCAGAGACCTCACCCAGAAAGTCTCTCAGGTCACAGTGACAAAAATTTTCCCAAACTCGATGGCCAAACACCCTAATAGTTGGGCCAGAAACCCCATCCAAGGACTGAGGAATCTGGATGCAGACATCCACGGCTAGGCCCCTGGTGGAGTGCTGGGAGTCTAATTAGTGAGAAAGAGGAGGGTCTATATGAGCGAGAATTGTTGAAACCAAGGTTGGATAAAGCACAGGGACAAATAGCCAAACAAATGGAAACACATGAACTATGAACCAAAGGCTGAGGGGCCCCCGACTGGATCAGGCCCTCTGAATGGGTGAGACAGTTGATTGGCTTGATCTGTTTGAGAGGCACCCAGGCAGTGGTACCAGGTCCTGGGCTCATTGCATGAGTTAGCTGTTTGAAACCGGGACTTATGCAGGGACGCTTGGCTCAATCTGGGAGGAGGGGACTGGACCTGCCTGGACTGAGTCTATCAGGTCAATCCCAGTCCTCGGGGGAGACCTTGATCTGGAGGAGGTGGGAATGGGGGGTGGGCTGGGGGGAAGGGGAGGGGGGCAGGAAGGGAGACAACAAGGGAATCTGTGGCTATTATGTAGAACTGAATAGTATTGTAAAATAAAAAAATAAAATAAAATAAATTAAAAAAAAATTTTTTTCCCAAACTCAAGCTGGCATGTTCTAGGCCCCTGGGACTTGTCAAAGCTCCTGGCTTATGTGTCCCATACGGGTGGGAAGGCTGCTAGAATACTGGGCACCCTCTGTTCAAACCTTATTCTCACTGGCACAGGTGAGAAATTTTCAGTCACTGTGCCCTGGGCTTCCTGTACCATCCCTCAGGGTCATCTCTTGTTCCTCTCTCCTAACAAGCCTTAGTACCTGAACAAGGAGACACATCTCATCCATAGGAGCGGCCGCTGGGTATGGTTGCTTGAGCATGCTCAGTGGGAATCCTGAAGCATACCAGGCCCTGCTGAGGGATGTAGCCTCTCAGTGTTCAGCCCCAAGGACCCTTGACTGGCTGAGATATCCACAATCTCTACTCAGGGAGCTCTGGTCCCATGCCTCTTCCTGGAGCCAACCACAAGCTGGCTCTTCTTTGGTCCAGATCTACCAGCTTCTTCAGATGCCACCATCTCCGGGGGACAGGGAGGATGAGCAACCTGGGAGCACTCACCACCCTGCCTATATACTCTGTGTTGTCTTAAGAGCTAAAAAGGTCCAACTTTAATAACTTACAGGAAAATGCTAATACACACATCAATAATACAGAGGACACACAAGGCTTATAAAAAAGGGCTGTTTCTACAAATTATGGAGGATCCTTCACATAGGCACAAAATGAAGATTACAATGACTGGGTTCCTAGGAGAGCAGCTGAAAAGACCCCATCACTACCACCCCCACCCTCCATGCATGCCACAGTGGGGAAAGAGGAGATATTTCTCATTCATCCTAAATGCATCCTGAGAATAACTATTTTTTAAAAGACAGAGTCTCACTATATATAGCCCTAGCTGTCCTGGAATTCACTGTGTAGACTAGGCTGGCTTTGAACTCACAGAGATCTACCTGCCTCTACCTCCCTAATCCTGGGACTGAAGCCATGAGCCACCACCATACCTGGCTTCTGAGCAACTTTCTATACACCTTCACCAAATCCTGGAGGGGGGGAGCGTGGGAGACAGGGAGAATCCAAATAAAACACTAGAGAAGGAACAGGAGGAGCCTGGCGGGGCAGAGTGAGCATTTGCATTTACATCTCTGATCAGTAGCTCCTACTTCCCTGGAGCGGAAGATAACAGCTGTGAGGACACCTCATCTCCCTTCCCCTCCCCCTACGTGACACCAACACAGGAAGCCATACTCTTCGGTTCTTTTAGGGGGACAGGTCGAGCACTTAGGCAGGGAAGTCACAGATGCTGCCTGCTTCTCCACGTGTACCTACTCCTAGTAGGTAGGAGGGTCCCAGGGTCACTCTTGAGGATCATCTCACACAGGTGCTCCAGATCTGGCTGAAGTTCCAGCCCACCCACAGCCCTGCAGCCCTGTGCATGAGTGAGCACATCAGCAGTCAGCTCTTGGGTGGACAGCCAAGTCCTGCTTGGTTGACATCCACCAGCACCGGCACCAGCACCGGCACCAGCACCACACTCCCTGGAAGCTCTGCTGATTCAGCACAGTCTCATCTCAGCCTCCTCCAGCCACTCAGTCCCTGCCAAGTCCACCACAAATACCACCGTCCATCTGGTGGGTGTAGGAGACCCTCGGTGGTCTCAGCTTCTCTTGACCCCCAACATCACACACTTGGACGGTGGTTCCAAGAGACTCCGTCAAGGGCACTCTGAATTCAGTCCTGAAGCCTTGGGTGGAAACATTCTGAACGAACTGCTTGAACTTGGGGCAGTGAAGGAGAACCGTCTTTCCAGCCCAGTCCAGTCTGGTGACACAGCACGCAGAGCCTTCCATTAGCTGCTAGCTGGCTACACAGCTTCACCAGCTCCGGGAAGCTCCTTAGCCACAGAGCACTCTGTGTCCTCATTTGTGACCCCACGAGGCTGCTACCCGGAAGAGGTGGTGTAGTGCAGAAGGACAGACAGACGTTAAGATTTAATCTGTTTGGATTTCCAACCGTGGTCTGCCGGCCTGCCACCTGGTGGCTGTGACAGTCTTTTCACCTGCTCGTAGACCAGCGGAGGGCTCCTGCTTGGCTTCAGTCTAGTTTCCCAAGCCTGGGCCGGCCTCGGGAAGGACAGTAAGGAGCACTTTTGTGCGGGCTGGAAGCGGGCTGTGCTCACTCCCATCCCCATACCTGCTCACCCAGCTTCCAAGGTTTGCTTCTGTCCCCAGCACGTCAGCGATCCCCTATGAACTCTTCTGTAGGATCACAACATCTGAAAGTCCCCAGAGCACCGCACGCCCGCCAGACACACGCAGACCTGGATAGCGATTTTTCTTGCAGATAAAAAGGACTTTCTCTGCTTCTGCGGTCCTGGACACTGTCTTTCCCATCCCGGATCCTGAAACTTGCTGCCCCTTCTGGCCCAGATCCAGAGTGACTTTAACGCACCCCACCCCCACCCCGCTACGCCGCTCTTTGAGCTGGAGCTTACAGTCCGGTCCCCTCTCACTGGGAATGTCACAATCCGCTCTACGACCCTCCCATACTTCCTCCCTGTTCTACAGGCATCAGGTCCCCGGGCTTGGTATCTCCTCCGCCCCCTGGGCAAGCTCTTGGCCGTCGTCTGGCAGCCTGGGGCCAGAGCCCGCTCCCACCCACACCCTGCGGGGAGTGGAGCGCGCCGGGGCCTGCCGAGGCGGCAGCGGGGGAGTCCGCATCCCTGGGGCGAGCCTCAGCAGGTAGGGGCAGAGCCTCGCCTCCGTCTTAGCTGTCTGGAGCGAACCTGCGTGACCCGCTCTGGCTTCCTGTGGTTCCCGCTCTGGCTTCCTGCGGTTCCTGCACGCGCGCGTCTGGCGGACCGCAGCCAGGTATCCAGGCAGAACGGCCACGCGCGCACAAAGCCTTCGCCTACGTCGTATTTGCCCAATAACCCGATGAAATACGGATTGCTATTGTTCCCACTTCGCAGATTCCGAAATCCTAACACATTCTCACCCAAACGCACCCCTCCCAACGCAGGGTTTTGCACGGAAACGAGTTCTTCGTGACCTTGAAGACTGTATGAGTCCAGTCTCACAGACCTTCAGCAAGGGGAGGGCAGGGCAAGATCTAGAAGAGGGGAAATTCCAGGCTGACTCACCAAGGGACCCGCTCTCGTCCCCTTCCTAAGAAAGAGCCTCATAAGGGGCTCTGATGGTGTAAAGATTAGCCTGACTTGCCTAACCCCAACCACCCCGTAGGTCCTGGAAGAAGCCCTAACTCCCTCCCTCCTGGGAATCCAGCTCTGCCCGTCAAGTTGCTGGGTTCATCCGAGGAGACCCGCTGAGCACGTTTGCATAGGCGTCTTGAACTGGGGGAGGGGGCCTGCTGGGCTACCTCTTCCCTTCTCCTGGGCCAGCCTCCTCAGAGTCCCCGCCATCACTGAGCAGGGCATCCATCTATGCCAAGATGCCAGGTGGGGGTTACTAAACCTCACCCACAGTGACTAGAGAAAACCATGGGGGCAGATCCAGCCCAGCTCTTACCTCGGGCCCCTGGGCTTGAATGGCAGCTACCGTGGACACTTCACCAAATGGTCTGTGCCTTTGTCTCCCTGTCTGTGCAAAAGGTTTTATTCTCACGTCAGGACGGTCCCTAGATCTGGAATAGAGCCTGATAAATGCGTCATAGTCACAGTTTCTGGGAGCAAACCTCACAGAGTCACATTTCCTGCCCCTCAGCACCTGCTCAATTGCTCCATCGTGATGCTCTGGGCTCTGAGAGCAAGAGAGTGTTCAGCTGAGAGTGTGGACAAAGTTGGGCACACGTACACACACTCATTCATTCATCCACCAAAGTCTTTTCTCAATGTCCCAAACCATAACTATAGATATCCAAAACCAGAAGCCCTAAGCCAGGTCAGTGTGGGTCTCCCAAGTTTTGTGGCATGGTTATTGAAATCTCCAGGACTAAAGACCTCAGACTGACTCACACTTCCTTCAGCATGGCCACCTGAAGGTTCAACCTGATCACATGAGGCTAGGCGACCTCCTCTGGTACTAGGGAAAGCTAGCCTAAAACCTGAATCAACACTGTGGCCACCAGAGGGCGCCCAGCTCCAGAGGCAAGGTTGGACACCATGTCCCCAGAGCCAGAGAGGCTGCTGAGGCAGAGTATGCGCTCTGCCCTCCCAGCATCATGAGAGCTCATGTGATCCCATTCTCCCACTAAGGACGCATGCCAGAGAAAGGGACACCACTGGTCCTGACACTTAGGAGTGGAAGGCTGGGTTTCTAAAATCTTTCCAAGTCCACTTTGAACCTGCTGATTTCTTCCAGCTTGCTGTGTAAGTCGGGGGGAATGTCAACGGACCTCTCCTGGGCCTGTTTCTTACCTGTAAAATGGTGCTGGTGGTGGGTGGTGGTGCTGGTGGTGGGTGGTGGTGCTGGTGGTGGGTGGTGGTGCTGGTGGTGGGTGGTGGTGCTGGTGGTGGGTGCTGGTGCTGGTGGTGGGTGATGGTGCTGGTGCTGGTGGTGGGTGGTGGTGCTGGTGGTGGGTGGTGGTGCTGGTGCTGGGTGGTGGGTGGTGGTGCTGATGGTGCTGGTGGTGGCAGGAAGTCACACTTGGGTCCTGGGACGAGGGGTCTACCCTCACCCAGCAGGGGCTTCGAGGCTGCTGTCTCCGGGCATGTGCCTATGGGTCAGGTTTGCAAAACTACTAGAAGACCCTCTCAGGTGCCTCTGGGGGCGGTAAGGAAGCTGCCTTCATGAAAGTACCTCCGCGTTGGCAACCATTTGTTATAGGCTGTGGGCGCTTCTGAGCGGGTCCTAGTGTGCCAGGATCCTGCACCCCACGCAACTGCAGAATGTCCACGCAACAGGACCCTCTCCCTACTGAGCCCTGCCAGCCTAGGAACGCCTATCACTTCCAGTTCTCCCTACAGTGGCCTGGCGATGTGGAACCCCTTTAGTCCTCCTGCCTAATGCCATCCAGAGCAACCAGACGGGGGCAAGGCCACCGCCTGGGCCTGGCAAAGGCTGCCTGCCTCCCAGGCAGCTGGGGCTGAGGGCTGGTAGCACGATCGTTCCCACGCTGCGTGATGCCCGGCTTGTCACTCCAGCTCCGCCCCACCCTTGCCGTGCTAGGCCCGGGGCACCTGGAATGTGGTGGTTGAGGATTCTGTCCCCCGGGGCCACGGATTCCTGTCTCAGTGGGCGAGGGCGGAGGCCCGCTTTCCGCCCTTTGATCCCGGCCAACTCCGGCTAGCGGGCCACGCCCCAATCCTGCCAGCCCGACCCAGAAGTAAACTGGGGGTGGGGCTAGTCTCAGCTCCCCAGCCTCTCCAACTCCGGCTCCCGGGGCTGCGGGTTCTGTCACCAGCAGTGATCCCTTACTACGACATGGGCAGCCTTGTGCTGGGCACGGCTGCAGCTAGACAAGCAGATCGAGACTCTTCTAGCCCCGTGCCTTGCTTAGTCCCTGTGAGCTGGGTGGTAGTTTGCCTATTCGCTCCGTTCGCCCTCAGCAACCAATTCTGGGACCTAGGGTCGACTAGCAAGAAGGAGGGGCACCCTCTAAGCCCAGGAAGGCAAAGGCAGGGTCTCAGGACCAAGTGGATGTCCTGAGTCCCCAGAGGTGAACCCCAGAGGTTATGGGAGCTCCTGAGATGCGCGGGCATCTGGGGAGTTCGCTTGCCTCAGTTTCCCCATTTGCTGGATAGAATGACAGTATGAACATCCCGTTTCCACACTTGTGGTGCTTGCAGTGGGCCTAGGACTTGCTCCATCCTTCTGAGTGGCCTGACTCCGCTTTTGTAGGGGAGCCACGGAGCCACCTGGCATTGCCCTGAAGGACCGGGCCTAGGTGGCTTTGCTTCTTCTGTGGACTACCTGCCGGGTGGGTGCCCGTCGCTACTGGGCAGTCATTACTGCCAATTTCTGCCAGACCACCGAGAGCCAGAGTCTTGAGATCTCCGTTCACAACAGTGTCTTCTTGTGGAAACTCAGAAGAGAGGAACTCCACAGGGTCCTTTGATTCCCAGGTTGGGGATAAGACCGGAACGAGGGGCTCACAGACAGGGAGAAGGGAGCCGGGAGGGCTCCACTAGGTGCAGGAAGTTTCCCAGGAAGTGGAAAGACTGTGTGGCGGGGCCCCTGAGCCGTCCGGGTCCCGCGTGGTCTCTGACTCCCTCGGGAGAGGATGGAGTCGGAGGGTGGGAAAGGGCCACAGGTAGATTCCAGCGCGGGGGTCAGACAAGCCCGCGCCTGCGCGCCGCCCTCCGGGTAGGGCGCCCGGACTGGGGGCAGGGAGGGGAGGAGGGGACCCTGATCGCGACACACCCCCAACAAGAGCGGGGAGGGGCCCTGAGAGGCAGGCGGGACACCGACAACGTGGGGCTGGGAGGAGGGGTGCGGCGGAATGCGCCTTTGTGCGCGCGGTCCCTGAGCTTGTTCTGGCGGGCCCAGCCGACCGCGCTGCGGCGTCCGCCCCCGGCCCAGTGCATACCTGGCGAGGCTGGGGTGCTTTGGGGCGGGGTTCATGGGCTGTCTCAGGCCTGTGCCGCGCCGCTGCAAGCTGGAGAGGTGGAGGATCCCTTCAGCAAGGACTGGAGCCTCTGCCAGGAGCGCCTCCGACGGCTGTACCCCTCGAATTCATGCTCCAGTTCCGGGCCAACACAGGCACAGATACCTATCATGATGCAATGTACTGGGAGCCTCAGAAGAGTAGCTAGGCTGGCCTAGGCTTCAGTTAATTCCCAAACGCTTGGGGTGTCGAGAGCCAGGTAACAGCTACAGCTCGTGTCAATAGAAAGCGACCAGCGGGCCGACTAAGGTCTCCGCTGAGTAGAGAGAACCTGGCCGAGGCTCTCTGCAGTTCTCAGGGAAGAGGAGGTGTAGGTAGCCCGTGTAGCTTAGGAACTCAGAGGTTCCCGCAGGAGGACACGGGCTGTGGAGAGGCAGGCTAGAGTGGCAGGTGCTGGGAGCACCTAGGAAGCTTGGTGATTGAAGAATCGTATTTTAGGATCGTGTGCTTCATCTTCGTGTGATTACAAATCCCTCGTTATTCACTTGACAGGTTGTGCACACCTTGCTGTGACCTGGGCTAAACATACCCAGCCTCTGTGCTTCAGTGGGCCCTAAAGGCTCAGCTGTAGGAAAGAAAACTGGTGGGCTGGGCCCCCAGCTGTCCCCTCCTTCCCACAAGCTGACTGTTGTAGGACCCATCTGCCGGCAGGCTCAGGTTTAACACTGGATAGATCAATACTCCTCAGGGGGACCCTTTAACAGGAAGTATGGGTGGCCGCCGGGGCATAGGAGGGCACAGAGGAGGGAGAGGCAGGAAGCACACACAGGGTGGGGCTTCTGGGTTGAGTTAAAAGACTGGTATTCAAGGCAGAGAGTAAAAAGGAACAAGGGTGGGCCCCGGGAAAATGTATGGAATCCTTAGGTGGAAAATGGGGTGCAGGGTGGGGCCTGGGTTTCACCAACTTCGGGAGGCAGCAGGGAGCCATGAAGTTATCAGAACACAGGAGCGTAGATGGGATCTGAGGTTTGGAATGATCACCTTGACCAACCTGCAAGCATGGTTAATAGTCTATGAACCTCCTGTCTTCAGGATGGATCTTTGTCTAGGAGAAAAGTCCTCGACTGTTGCATACTGAATGTTTCCAGATTCCCACAATGGCCTGCAGTGAGACTCACTACTCATGGCTACACAAGCCATGGAAGCCAGTCTCTAGAATAAGAATTGTTTGATTCCAAGGCCGAGTTTCACGCAGCCCAGACTGGCTTCAAACTCACTGTGTATTCAAGAATGACTGAACTCCTGACCCTCCTGCCTTCTGGGATTATGGGCCGGCAATGCCATTTCCAGCTCTAGGGTCTCTTGAAGGGCACCTAGTGATGCTGGTGGGAGGTGAACCTTCACACACACACACACACACACACACACACACACACACACACACACGACCATTACAGATACCCTCCTCTTGGTTTGTTGACTGACTTTTACGACGATGCTTTTATTTTTAAACTTGAATTTCCTGGGAAAACGATGAACGTCACACACACACACACACACACACACACACACACACACACACAGCCCGAGCTTTGTGCTTCTCGGTGAGTTTGCTTCTGTTCTAGTGAGCAGCCCACCTTGCTGAGCATTGAGTGTGATGGTGGTCAGCTGCGTGTATCCCAGCAGCCAGAAGCCCCGACGGATCTCACCACAAGAAAGGCAACAGCATATCCACTAGCTCAGAGCCCCGCCCCTGAGGAGTCAGGGTATTGCTCTCTTCTTCCCTGCGGGCACTGAGTGTGCCGGTGATGGTCCAGGAACAAAGGCCCCAAGGCCTCAGACCCCTGCAGCTGGAGATGCTTTCTCAAACCCTGGCTCTAGACCGTCCACGGCTCCGTAAGCCTGAGCTGAGTGTACGCACTCGTACCTCACCGTGGGCACGGCAGTGGCAAGCCTCCGAAAAGCGCGGCTGTACGTTACAGGTATCTGCCCACAGACATATCTGTTGTGTGTATTCCCACTGGCGTTCAGTGTTCCGACAGTCACCCTGGGCACACGTGGCTCTGGGGTCCTTCCTGTCGTGGTCTCTTCTTCAGGCTCCTCTGTGAACTCTTGGGGAGCTGAGTTCCCATGTGCCTTCCTGCCTGACTCTTGGCTAATCTTCTCCTCATGTCCACTCTTCTACATAGATTTAAGACAGATGTAATCAAAGTGGAAGGTAGAGGCATTATGGCCGGGCTCCGGCCCTCACTGGCTGTGCCAGGCTGTGCCAGCATTTGGGACAAAGGAGCTGCTTGGAGAGTTATTGGGAAACTGTCTCTGTGAGCTGCAGACCTGTCTTCACAGACAGACCTTCAGCCTCTGCCTCCTCCGCCTACACTGGGCCCCTCTCCACCAAGCTGGCCCTACATGGGCACAATCCTCACCTGTATCTCTAGCCTGCTGGACTCCCAGGAAGTCTTCTTCACCCTCTGCCCCCAGACCATCCTTCTCTTCCTGTACCAGCTTCTCTCCTGGGCCACCTCCCCTAGACGCCCTGCTAGGCCTCAGCTCTGGCCTCTGTCGTGTGCTAGCAACGCTCACACCTTTATCCCCAGCCCTGCCTCCTCCTGACCAGTAAGTCTCCAGCTGGCCTCAGACTCTCCCTGGCTGCACCTCACCCCCACATCTCTCCAATCCTGCCTATCGGAGCCATCCCTCCCAGACCTCAGGCAACAGCAGTCTACCCTCTCTTCCCCGCTGCATCAGCCTCCTAGACATGTGTCCACTGAGCATCTGCCCCTGCCTTTCCTGTCCCCATCCCTCCCTGATGGATACCAGGCTTCCACTCGCCCCTCCTGCTGCTGAGTATTTCACTACCTTTTCAATACCTCGTCCACCCTGGAGCCTGCCTGCCACGCCATAGCCTCACTGGAGCGTCGGCTCCACCCTACACCACGCTGCCCTCCCAGGGTCTGCCTCACACCGGAACTCAAGCATGAGACTCTGTACCCTGTATGACACGGACCTTCCTCCAAGTGCCCCAGACCCCATGCTCCAGCTCTACACCGCCTCACTGCCCCTGCCTGGGTGTGCCAAACAGCAGAGAAGACTTGTCTCTCTGTCTTGTCCTGGTTCTCTGATGCCTCACTATCTTTTTGTTCCATCTTCAAGCTCGGGAAAACTCCTCTGTGTCCCCGAAGCGTGGCAGGGCAGTCCTTGCTGAAAGCCTGCAGAATGAGAGCTGTGTCTGGGCCCTGTCTGTGAGTGGGATCAACACTCCCAGAGAGGTTAAGCGACAGGCCTGGCGTCACACAGCCTATCCAAGGCCAAGTGACTCAATGAACAGGAGGAACAGAAGCTGAGGACAGGTCACTCCTTTCCTGCTGAGGGAAGAGCTGGCTCTTATTGACTGCCCCCCTACACACACACACACACACACACACACACACACACACACACACACACACGTACACGTGCAAAGCTGAGCACCTTGTCTGAACCAGGCAGAAGACGTGCTGCAGCATGCCTTGAATTCCCGCCTGATGGGCTGGGAAGAACTCAGGTAGGCCTGATCACCACCTGATGTCTCAGGAACTCAGGCCACAGAGGGCTGGCTGGCTGGAGGCCCCCAACACAGCCCTTTGGCGTTGTGACTCAGAATGCAAGGCAGGGCCATGCTGTTCACTTGTGGCAGGGGCAGCCTGGGAACGACCTGGGAGTGGCTGGGTCTTGCAGCTCAGGTAGAAAGGGCTGAGCCTTGCCATAGGAGCACCAGGCTCTAGGACAGGACAAATCTCTCCAGTGAGGCACCTTGAGTCAAAGGCAGACCACGGGGCCAGTGGTTTTCTTGTTCCCAAGTCTGCTGCTCAACGCTTCTTTCAGGCCTCCAAAGCCACAGGAATTTGGGCAGAGAAGCCAGCACACTTGGCTAAGGCAACCATAGCCTGGAGTGCACCCTGGCAACCTGGCCCCATTCACTCAGGAGGCGGAAAGGGGCTCCTGTTCCAGCTCTCCGCCGTGGGCCTGGAGAGAGGTTTTTAGCTGTTTGTTATGGTTTTAGATCAATGCCTGGATTTTAAGTCTAACTCCTTAATATTTTACATTTGTGTTCTTTCTGGAAATAGTATCACTTACATGCGTTTTAGTTGCAAGTGCTTTTTAGTACATTAAAGTTTATTGACTTTTTTAGTTTGACAACCTTGCTGATACCACGTTAGGGCTGATGGGTAATCGGATGGTTGCGTGGGGCTTCCTGTGGGAGTTAGCATAGTAACTAAAAAGGTCAGTGAAAACAGTTCAACTTTGTCTTCCCTCCCGATTTCTTTTTCTTGTCTTGTTGCATTGGCCAGGACTGTTGCACCAATTCTAAATGGTATAAAAAAAAACCCAAAAAACCCAGAGCCAGATATTGGGGTAAATGCTGAAAGATCAGAGAGACAAAGGAACAAGCCACTGCCGGGTCTCACCTCACCAACTCCACGAATCCTCAGACTGAATGCCTCTGAGTCCTCAGCCAAAAGCTATCTAGTTCCTGTCTCCTCACACCTTATATTTCTTTCTCTGCCCATCCATTTCACTTCCTATCTCAACCTTCCTAGTGCTGGGATTGATGGCATGTGTGCTTCCCAAATACCAGGGTTAAAGGTGTGTGCCACCACTGCCAGGCTCTGTTTCTCTCCTAGACTGGATCAATCTCATGTAGCCCAGGGTGGCTTTGAACTCACAGAGATCCAGACGGATCTCTGCCTCCCGAGTGCTAGGATTAAAGGTGTGTGCCATCGCTCCCTGACCTCTATGTTTAACTCTGTGGCTGGCTCTGTCCTCTGATCTTCAGGTGAGCTTTATTTCTTAGATTACAAATATCACCACACAGAATGTCCAGAATAATGCTGAACACTGAATGTCAGCATCCATGTATACCCTGTGCTGCCGGCCACAAGGTTGTTCCATGGGAACGTTCTCTCCATTTCTTATCTTCTAGGATCCCTTTCAGAGTCCCACGTAGGGACTATGTGTCATCAAACATCTTACTCTTTATTGATGTAACAGTTTTGTTATTTTCCTTCTTGAACCTGGTGAGTTGCTCTGCTATTTTTTAAGGTTTATTTTTAATTTGTATGTGGGGGTGGGTGTGTGTGTGTGTGTGCATATGAGTGCAGGTGCCCTTGGAGACCAGAGCTGTGAGGTCCCCTGGAGCTGGAGTTGTAGATGGTGGGGAAGCACCTGACATGGGAACTGAACTCGGGTCCTCTGGAAGAGCAGCCAGTGCTCTTAACCACTGTGCCGTCTCTCCAGCCCAAGTTTGAGATTTTTAAAACGGCAGTAAGACTGGTTGACAGTGAGGCCTTTTCTCTTCTAGCTCTGTACTGGCTTTGTAAAGTGGGTTCTGCTCTCTGTGCTTTCCCCTTTTCATGGAACAACTGTGCACAGACTATCTGTTGATAGGAGGTTTGGTAAGTACCCCGTAACTCCTGGTCTGTAAGACATGTCTGCATATAGGTGTGCATGCCTTCAAGCGTCTGTGTGTGCACGTGTGTAGTGGGAGGGGATTCACCTCTGACTTAACTTCTTAAATAATTGTTAAACTCTGTATATTTACACCTCTTGTCCTAATTTTGGCACTTTTTTTACCCTGAATTTTGAGATGGGGTTTTGCAATGTAGCCTTAAAGTCACTGTGCAGCCCAGACTCCCCTTGAAATCCTCCTGCCTCAGTCTCCCGAGTGTCAGGATTATAGGTGTGTACCACCATGCCTGGCTCCAAGCTCAGTGTTTTAGCTTTCTGTGACTTTGTGCGCTTCGCCTAGGTTTTCAAATGTCTCTGTGTGTGGTTGCTTCAGTTACTGTCTCATGGCTGTAACTGTTTCCTCTCCACCCTGTGTTTTGTCATTTTTTTTTTCTCCTGAGACTTGAAATAAGCTTTTAGGATCTTCAACTGTGCATTATTTTTCCTTTCACCTTTTGTTTTCCCAATTTATGTCTTTATTTTTATTTTCTTCTTTTCTATTTTTGTATAGTATGTGTGTGTGTGTGTGTGGTGTGATGTGTGTGTTTGTGTGTGGTGTGTGTGTGTACATGTGCATGTGAGTCCTTATCTTTTGAGACAGGGTCTTTCACTGGACCTGACATTCACCATCTGGCTGACCAGCTTGGGTTACCAAATCCGGGGTCCCCCTGTCTCCACATCCCACTGTTGTAGGGTTACAGATGTGTGTAATCACATCTACTTTTTCTATGTAGGTGCTGGGGACCTGAACTCGCTGTAGTAAACAGGGTCCTTTCTGTGCTGTCCTTCTTGCTACTGGATTCTCACGTGTCTACATTAATGATTATGTTGCTCTTGTCCTGGTGCAGAACGAGCTTGTATTTGCAACAGAATCTCAGTTCTTCTTGCACTTTGCAGGGATTTAATTGGATTTTCTGCAAAGGATGATAGTGCATTTCCTCCCTGCTCTTTTGTTTGTTTGTTTTGTTTGATACAGGGCCTCTCTAGTTCTGGCTGCCCTGAAGTTCATTATGTAGACCAGCCTGGCTTCAAACGCACAGAGATACTCCTGCTTTTGCCTCCTGTGTGCCAGGGCTGTGTACCACCAGGCCCATCCCCCTCCTTTCTTTTCTTTTCTTTCTTTCTTTTTTTTTTTTTTTGATGTTTATTTCTTCCCTTCTCCAGCTGCATGAATATTAAGTAACAGTGGCATCAGCAGGTGCTTTCCCCATGTCCATGTATGGTATCATGGTGAGAGAGAGGATTCTGTGGAGAACGCATGTGGGTGCTAACCACCACAGGGTGCATCGCTTCATCTGACCATCCTGCCAGAAGAACTAGGAACTTGGGCCAGATGTGTCAGGAGGTCACTTATAGGCTAGACAATGGAGCACGATGCCTGTGTCACCACAATTTTTTTTTTTTTACCTCTGGTGTCCTAATGGAAGACACTGGAAGTCAGAGCAGAATTCCTGCAGCAAAAGTGGCAGGAATGGGTAGAGAAGGGATCTTTCTAGAATGAGCAAGAATTCTGCAGAAGCCTGTGCCTGGCGGCCCTCCACAGAAGCCCGTGCGTGCCTCCCCTCCACAGAAGCCTCTGCATGGCTACCCTCCACAGAGACCAACAGACAGAGGGCGAAGGAGAGAGACCACTCACCACACAATGCCATTCAGTGTGGCCCTGAGTGGGGGAACTTCAGCAGCCATTTGGGAGCTGGTTGGGAATAAGAGCCATGCTCAGGAGGCGCCAGATCCTATACCTGCCCTCACAAAACCTAGAGGCCAGCCTGGGCAGCAAGACCGCATCTGGAGCCCTGGGCTGTGCTCAAGATCACACCAACACAGTACCTGGCCATGAGAGGCCCTTTACCAGGAAGCTGAGGAAGAGGTGAGAGACCTATTCTTAGCACCACATTCACCCAACCCGCACACTCTGGCACACACAGTGTGGTGGCTGGGTAAATTTCCAAACAGGGAAAGAGGGACTGTGTATTGGTACCCCAGCCTCTCAGAGGCTGCCCCCTGGACTGGTGGATGTAAAGCTTTCCTTTTAGAAGAGGTTATGTTGTACCAAGGCTTATGTTCTACAAAGATGTCAAAAAAAAAAAAAAAAAAAAAAAAACCTGAGCATCAAATGATCCATTACAAATATATCTAAACATGTTAAATGTGTAAGTAGCTACAAAGAGCACATGAGCAGGAGACCCCAGCAGGGAAGGGGAAGTACAAAACCAGACCAAGCGGATGCCCGGCATGGCAGCACACACCCAGCATTTGAGAGGCAGAGTCAGGCGGATCTCTCTGGTCTACACAGTGAGTTCCAGGACAGCTGGAGCTACTTAGTGAGACCCTGTCTCAGAACAGACAAACACTAAATGGGGCTGCCCATGGTGGTGCATACTGTAGTCTCATCATCGTGGAGGCTGAGGCAGGAGGATGGTGAGCCAAGGCCAGCCCGGACCTCAGATACACAAAGGCTCACCCTTCTGTTCCTCCGGAGTGCTGGATTAAAAGCTCTGTCAAAGATGCCAGATCTAAGAATTAGAATCATCAAATAAAAACTCTCTTGAGTTTTTTGAGACAGGGTTTCTCTGTATAGTGCTGGAACTCGATCTGTAGTCCAGGCTGGCCTTGAACTCAAGAGACCCATCTGCCTCTGCCTCCCAAGTGTTGTGGAGACGGCTCAGTGGTTAAGAGCACTGACTACTCATCCAGAGGACCTGTGTTCAATTCCCAGCACAAAAAGCAACCAACCTGTAATAATAATGATAATAATTAAAAACCTCTTACATCCATACTGATCCCACACATTTTATGGGGAATAGGCACTCACAGTGTGAAAAGATCTTACAAAATCCTAGGTAGGTGAGACTACAGACAGAAGGGAGCTTATCTGAGTGGGACACACGGCAATCATGTGTCTCATGATAGGCTACACCAGGAACCCAGCTTCCCACCCGAGATGACCTAACTAAGACATCTGCCTTGGATTACTGACGAGAAAGCTTTAGAGGAATCCAAACTGAAAAACCCTCTAGGAAGCAACTGACACCTTTCAAGTATCAAGGACATAAAAGCCAAGTTAATACACAGGAATTTGTCCTGGGGCTGGAGAGGTGGTACAGCGGTTAAGAGCACGGGCTGGTCTTGCAGAGGACCTGAGTTCGACTCCCAGCTCCCCCACACAGTGGCTCACGGCTGTCTGTCACTCCTGTTCTAGGGAATCTGATACCCTCTTCTGACCTCCATAGGGACCAGTCACACATCTGAGGAACGTACATACATACAAGGCAAAACATTCATCCACTTACAACAAATAAACATGTAAAATTAGAGAAAAAACAAAAAAGAATTGGTCCAGATAAAAGGCAGTGATGGGAAGGGTTAGCTAGCGAGGAGGGACCCGGGTGGGTCCTTGCTTGTACAGTGGCCCTGGAGACTCTGATAGCACTTGAGTGGGATTTGAGGACCAGAACAGCCACACACATGCAGTGCTGGTTTCCTGATTCTGATAGCTGAATTCTGACCATGTGAGATCCTTGCATGGAAAGTGCGCCCTGAATGCTTGCAGGTGATGGACCCTGGATCAGCAATGGACTCTTAAATAGTTCAGGAAGACACTGAAAACCTTTCTGACACTGTAGGACTGTTTAGAAATATTAATGCTTGTCCATTTGGCCTTACGTAAACTTCACCTCAACGAAAGAACACCTACCTAAGAAGTTTCCAAGCGTCCCACCAAGCATATTTTCTCTTAGTGAAAATCTTCCCATCCCAGGAGCTGTCCTCCACACTCTCGGGGTGTGATTTTTCTCCCATGTTACTTGGTTCTACTTACTCCTGTGTTATTTCATAGTTTTGAATTGAAGTTAATCAATGCAAATTTTTACAGTATTGTTTTACATTTTAAACGTTTTAATTAATATGTATCAAGACATATTTTAAAAGCTGAGTGTGATGGCACATCTGGAGACAGAGGCAGGTGGATCTCTGTGAGTTCAAAGCCAGCCTGGTCTACATTGTGAGTTCTGGGGCAGCCAGGACAATATAGAGAGACCCTGTCTCAAAGGAAAAAAAAAAAAAACGAAACAAAACTTAAAATATACAGAGCTCCTGCCGGGCAGTGGTGGCGCACGCCTTTAATCCCAGCACTCGGGAGGCAGAGCCAGGCGGATCTCTGTGAGTTCGAGGCCAGCCTGGGCTACCAAGTGAGTCCCAAGAAAGGCGCAAAGCTACACAGAGAAACCCTGTCTCGAAAAACCAAAAAAAAAAAAAAAAAAAAATACAGAGCTCCTAACTTGTGTATTCTGGAATGTAATACTTCACATTGTAATAAGATTAGCCTTCCTTACAATGTACAGCATTCTGGGGACTCAAGTTCATTTCCCATTGCCCAAGTCAGATGGCTCATAACTACCTGTAATTTTAGCTTCAGGGCATCCAATGCCCTCTTCTGGCCTCCCTGGGCACCTATATTCTTGGTTACATGCATGCGCGCGCACACAGACACACACCATTTAAAAATAAAAATAAAAATTGTACGACTATGCAACATTCATGTGAAATTGCCTGGGTCTGATGAATTTTATGGGCTTGCTCTTTGAAAATGGTCTGCTTAATTGGCTTGCTTAGATTTTTTTAGGTATCTTCAGGCATCTGTTGTAATATAATTATGATTTTAATTATAATATGTTTCTAGAAAATCATCTGTTTGAACCAGGCTTTATTTATTTGCTTGGCATTCAAAACGTTCTCTTCCAATTAACCTTTCTCTCTATCTATGATCATTTTCTTCTTTTATGTGTTTTAACATTCCTCTTTCCTTCATTGGGTTTTCTAATTGTTTCCCTATTTTGATTTTTGTCCAAATAATTAGCTCTTAGATTTGTTTACCAGTTCTAATAATCCTTTTGTCTTCAAATCTATGCATTTTTCCTTTTATCTCCAATGTCTAACCTTTTAAAAAAGTATGTGCCCAGTGTCCCCATTGCCCACTTTGGTAAGAGCATCCTCTTCTGCATTAGTCCATTGTTTGTGATGATAACAGAGCCCCTGAGGCCAAATGCTTTATTTAAAAAAATTATTTAGCTCATAGTCTGGAGGCTGTGGTTAGTCTTTGTTTTGATTTTTAAAATAAATTTCTGTCACTTAATTTTTATTAATTTTGTGTGTATATGTGTTTTGTCTGCATGTATGTATGTATGCCTGTTTATCATGTGTCTGCCTGGTGCCCACAGAGGCCAGAAGAGGGAGTTAGATCCCCGGGGACTGGAGTTACATACAGTTATGAGACATGTGGGTGCTGGGAATCAAAGCTGAGTCCTCTGGAAGGGCAGTCAGTGTTCTTAACTGCTGAGCCATCTCTCCAGCCTTGTGTGATGGTTAATTTTAATTGTCAACTTGGCACAATCTCCAATCACCTGGGTAGAGAGTCTAAATCAGGTTTGCCATGAGTGTGTCTGGGAATCATCCGATTGTATGAGTTGGTACGGGGAGAATCAGCTGAAAGTGAGTGGCACCACACCCTGGATTGTTACAAAAGGGCCCTGGATTACATAAGAGTAGAAACACTGGGCTGAGCAGGAGGCATGCATGCTCTTATTCTCCCTCTGCTCTTCACTGTGGATGTGACAAGCTACGTTGACTTCCCCACGATGATGGGCTGTGACGAGGGACTGGCGCTGAGTGAAGACTTTCTCTCCTGAGTGACGTTTTGTCTGGTGTTTTATCACAGCTACAGAAGTGAAGCCAGGGCAGAAACTGAAAGCCCAGGGTCAGGCAGTGTCATTGACTGGGCCTCGGGTGAGGGTTCACTTGGTGTACTGTGTCATGGGGGCAGTGGGACGTGGGATGGGGTTTGAGAGGAGATCACAGAGTCGGAAAGCCAGAGTGAGATTGGGGCACCATGAGAACTGCGACATACCCCAAATTGCCTAAGAGCCCCCCATTGAGCCTCACTTCTTAAATGTGACACTACCTCTTAACATGGCCACTGAGAACCAAGCTCCCAATTCATAAACCTTTGAGGGAGTAGACCATGGCCACGCTCTAGCCACTCCTGTTGGCTCCAACCTGAAAGACAGCTACCTAGCTGTGAGAACGTCAGGTGTTCTACACCCCGTGTGTTCCTCACTGTTCCTGGACTCTCCTCGGAGCAAAGTGGGGCTGAATGACTCCTCTTCTTCTCCTCCTCCTCC